TCTTGCTTATTTATAAGCCAAGCACATTTGGTTATACTTGGCATATCGATCAAAAGACTAACTTCCTATCTATATATATTTCTCCGGCTCTATTCCAAAAGCTTCCCCTCTTCCTCTTTGGTATCGTATCTGTAAAAGGACACAAACTCCCTCCGTCATCTCAAACTACACAGTTTCTCCTTCACCGTTAACTCTGCTAGTCAAACGTTTAAAGATTGGGAAAATTTGTTGATGAATAAAACTTAAAAAGCCATATACCCATTGACTCCAAATCCTTCTTTGTCCATTTACGAAGGCTTTTGCTAAAGCTTAAACACAGATTTCTACAAGTAAAATAGAGATAGAGATGAGTGTGGGGACAGCAACTGCTGAAGCATGTACGATAGTAGTACTCACTTTCCCAATCACTTTGTTAAAGTTTGCTTGCAATAGAAACCCAAAAGAGAGAGAGAGAGAGAGTAGGGTGGAGAGATCTACAGAAAGGGGGGGTCGAAATTTTGCGAAGAGAAAGAGCCAAGAGGAGATTGGGACTCTTTAAGATAGAATAATGAAATTTCGAGAAATTGAAAACATAACTAAAATCGACTTATCTTGATTGGTTCAATCAATTATTTTTATTTGAGTGGAAATATTTTTGAGATATATATTAAAAATATTTAATATATAAAATATATTTTTGAAGTAATTTTGAGGTATATTTTAAAATATTAATAATATGTATATATAATAATATTTAAAAATATAGTATTAATGGCTTTTTTTTATTTAGTTTCATTGTAAATTTTGAATACAAAAAATTGATTGAAGATAATCGAACAAGCTATCCCTCCTAACGAATTAATACCCAAATTAAAAAATTAATCCGAATTCTATCAATTACGATTAAATATTTTAAATTAAAACAATTAATTCTCACTTGAAAAAATGACAAAAAAAAAGATATATGGCTTAATTTTAGAATGGCGTGGCAGAAAGTCCAAGGAGCAAAACGTTTGAGTGATAGAGTTAATGGTCAGGGGCGGTGGGTTAGAGATAATAATAGTGGGATTTTTGGAATTCATTCACCCTTTTCCTTTGATGTCCACTCGATGCTAATCCTTGTCCCTTTATTTCATTCTTTCAGGTCATGTTTTGTCTCACTTCGCATTACTCACGCTCCATACGTTATTCTTAATATTAGAATCACACTATTAACAAATTTTGTACGTAAATCATTATTATTATTATTTTAATTACGAAATTTCTCTTCATAACAAATTTGTTTTTCTAATGCATTTTTTTATATATATATATTTTCATCAATGAAATAGTTTCGTTAAAGACTGTTCAAATTTGACTTGAAACAAAGCAAAATCCTTAGCAACACAACTTCCATAGTAAAACTTGGGCACAAGGAAGTCAACATTTATTAATCTAAGTTATTCAATTTTTGGACTATTCAATTAAAAAATTCTTGAAAATTTCCTAACAATCGCTTGGTATTAAAAAAAA